TCCTCCTCCTCCCCCTCCTCCTCCTCCTCCTCCTCCCCCTCCTCCCCCCTCCTTCGTAGCCATTCTGGCTCTAGCCAGCTTTGGTTCGAGCCTGGACCGTGCTCATGGTTGCGCCGGCACCTTGTGTGCTGCTCTTTTCCTTGTCTTTTCGTGTCTGCGATGGTGCACTGCCGTTCCGCCCTCGCTGCTGAACGTCGCCGCCTGCGTGCTATTGATCGCCGTTATCTCTGTTTCCCATCGGCTCAGTCTCTGGTTCCTGTTCGAGCGTCGCTGGCGGGGCGCGCGTTCCAGATGATCCAGTCCCTGGAGCTCCACGACGACCACAATCATCTCAACGAGGCTCCTGCTCACCTATGCTCGTGACGCGACGCGTGGAGCTGGGCTACCTCCTGCTGCTGTTCAACACGCTCTGGCTCTTCATCGTCAAGCGAATCGCGCCAAGCACGAGTGGGGTGTTCGCCGTACTCATTGTGTTCTCGCCGCCAAGTGTGGCGCTTCTGTCTTACGTGCTGGTGCTGCCAAGTTCTTCCCCGAGGTACCCGCGTCGAGGTCCTTCGGCCGCGGCCCTGTACCTGGTGGTGTGGTTGCCCCCAGGTGGCGTCGTGGATTGCGTCGTGATGCTCCTGAGTTCGTTCCTGCTTTGGAGGACGACTGGGTTCCGTGCTCTGGACCTTTTATCACTCCTGGCTATGATCAGTATGATGCAGATTCCGTTTCCTTGGGCTTCTGTTGGCTTCAGCGCCAGCTCGATCAAGTTTGGCCTTTTGCTTCTGATTGGGGTGCACGTCTGGACGAGTGTGCGGATCCATGCAAAGTGGCACGAGATGGTTTATTGCTCGTGCAGGCCGTCGAACAGAAGTCCGAGCGCCAGTTCTCCAAGCTCAACGGATTGGAAATGGTTGTTTCCGGTATGTTGGGTACTTGTGATCTCGATCAGCCAGAGGAGCGTGTCAGCCAGACCCCTCACTTTCTCCAATTTCAATATCAGGTGGGCTCCGTGCTTGCGGCTCTGCCTGCGCACCAGAAGGACCTCGAGACTCGCGTGCGTGCTCTCCTTCATGAGGGTGCTGCGGCGCAGGAAGCTTTCTTGGAGGGTGCCGTGCTCAAGGTGCAACGGCGTGTCGTGGACCCTTTTCTTGCTACGGTCGCGAAGTGGGTGGCCCAGCCGCTGTCCAGTTTGTGGGACGACTGCCAACAGCTTGTCGACAAACATGTGGCTACGGCTAACGACCTCCTTTCTTTAACTCGCGAAGGTGTACTGTTGAAAGCGCATGTTCTACTGGAGAATTTATCGAGCGACATGACGGTCCTGAGGGACTCTGCAGCCTTCGTGCAGAAATACAAAGCTGAGTTTTCGCAGTCGTCAATGCTGCGTGATTCGATTCGAGATCTCTCTGCGAAGGTGTCCACCCACGAAGCTGCATTCTCGGAGCTCACGGCCGCCATCGGTGACGTTACCGCCCGCTCCCAGTCGGCCGCCGTGGACGCTGTCGAGAAAGCGTTCAAGCAGTTCCTGTACTCCGACCTGCTCGCCTTCCAGGTGCGCTTGGTGTTGGGGCAGTCGCTGCCTGCCCTCCCTCGTGGGGCTCCCTCGGCGTCTTCTCGGCACCCTCACGTTGCTGCAACTGACCGTGACAAGCGACCCGACGAGAGGTGTGATCGATGTGGCGGAGTTCTGAATGAGAGCGCTATGAGGTATACTTGCGTGTGTTCTGTCGACGAAGGGAATTGGGATCAGCGACTGCGCTGGTATCTCATCTACTCGACTGAGCCGGCCTTTTCCTCACAGTCTCGCTCGTCGTTTTCGGTTTCTTCTTGTGTTGCTTGTTCGTTGAGGTAATTAGAAAAGAATTGGGAGCAGTGGTGGCGTTGGTATCTCATCTACACCACAGAGCAGGCCTTTTCCTCACGCTCTCGCTCGTCGTGTTCGGCCTCATCATGTGCTGCTTGTTCGTTGAGGCTATGATTTAAGGGGCTTCCGCCTTCGTTTACCCGCCGCTCTGCGGCGTGCGGATCCCTCTCCCGCGTCTGAGACAGACGTTCCCATACGCTGGGCTCCTCCTCCCCCCTCCTCCTACTCCTCATCCGCTTCCTCCTCCTGCTCCTCCTACTCCTCCTCTTCCCCCTCCTTCTCCTCCCCCTCCCCCTCCTCCTCCTCCTCCTCCTCCTCCTCCTCCTCCTCTTCTCCTCCTCCTCCTCCTCCTCCTCCTCCTCCTCCTACTCCTCCTCCTCCCCCTCCTTCTCCTCCCCCTCCTCCTCCTCCTCCTCCTCCTCCTCCTCCTCCTCCTCCTCCCCAGAACTCCGACGCCGTAACTTGCTCACGCCAAGGACCCCCGGAGGCCCCAACCGTTGCCCCGAGAGTGGTTTCTCCTCCCGAGTTGTTTCTGAACGCCTTCGGGTCCAGACGAGGGCCCTCGAGGGCCGAAATTATGCAGGAACTTTCCGTCGCGCATGTTTCCCACGACGCGGGACCCTCCCCCCCCCCTTCCCCAGACATCCAGCGCCTCGATGTTCTTCGAGACCCGGGCCCCCACATCCCCGACCACTTCCCCAGGATCGGCCTTGTTGTCCCGAGCCGCTTCCCGACGGCCCCACGGCCTCGAGGCTTGGCGAGGGCCCCCAGAGGCCGAAAACGACGAGAAGCCTCCGCCTCGCCTCGATGTTTTCGAGGCGAGTTGTGTATACTATCGCGGTCCGCTCCCATCTCCTGCTCCTAACCCACGCTTCTGTTAATACTAATAACAACAAACAAACAACAACAAACACGTCCTGAGTACCTATCCTCGAGGAGCGCGCGAGCGCCGCCTGGAGGGCGCGTTTCGCCGGCTGCGGGGACGTGTCGATCGCGCTCGGGCTGGCCTCCATGCCCGACGGCACGCCCCTCACGCTGGAGCACCACGGCCTTCAGAAGGGCTCCGTCGTCAACATCGTACGGCGCGCCCGCGCGAGCTTCGGGCGCCTGCTCCAAGGCCCCAGACATCTGGCGCCTCGAGCAAACAGAAAATCGAGACGGAGGTTTTCCACCATTTTCGGCTTCTGGGGGCCAGTGCCAGGCCTCGGGGGCGTCAGAAAGCAGCACGGGGTGAAAAATCGGTCCCAGGGAAGTGGTCCAGAGGTCGGGAGCCCGTGCGTCTCGAAAAAATCGAGACGCCGGATGTGTGGGACTCGACCGCCACCTCCTCCAACGGTGGGACAATGACGGCTGGCAATGTTTGGCCGTGTGCGGCCTCTGGGGGCCCTCGTTGGGCCCTGGGAACCTCGGAGAACGACGCGGGACGAAGAGATGGCCTTGGGGGGGAGGGGTCCAGATTTCCAGGGTTCACGGTTTGTGTTTGTGTGCATTTTACACACACAGACATACACACGCACATGTGTATATATATATATATATATACATATATATATATATATATATATATATATATATATGGTACGGGGGGGCTCCCAAGTTCCCCTTTCGAGTTTTTCTTGTTCTTCTTCATCTTCTTTTTCGTCTTGCGTTGTTTCTTATGTTGTTTTCTGGCAGAAACCAAAGAAAATAACAAGTTTCCTATTGAAAGCCACTGGTTTTTCAACGTTTCAAATGGAAAACTATTGAAAACCATTGGTTTTGTTGTTTTTGTTTGGTTTGGAGGTGGATTCGGCGCTGGGGGAGCGAGGGCGCCGAAAACCAACAAAAACAGGAAAATCAGTCAAAACCAAGGGAAAAACAGGAAAATCAGAGCACCCAGGCAACAAAATCAACGAAGCCAGGGCCCCGAATGGTTTTGCAAGTCTCAACAAAAGGGAATCTTATTGTAATCCTCCACAAAAGGAATTCGAATGAAATCCTCACAAAAGGAATCCTGTTGTAATCCTCCACAAAGGGAATCCTATTGTAATCCTTACAATAGGATTCCTTGTGTTGAGAATTGCAAAACAATTCTGGGCTCTGATTTTGTTGATGTTTTGGCCTGGGTGTTCTGGTTTTCCTGTTTTTCTTTTGGTCTTGACTGATTGTTTTGTTTTTGTTGGTTTCTGCTCCCCCGCGCCCCCTCTGGGGGTGAGGTGGATTCGGCGCTGGGGGAGCGAGGGCGCCGAAAACCAACAAAAACAGGAAAATCAGCCAAAACCAAAGGAAAAACAGGAAAATAAGAGCACCCAGGCAACAAAATCAACAAAATCAGGGTCCCGAATGGTTTTGCAATCCTCCACAAAAGGAATCCTATTGCAATCCTCCACAAAAGGAATCCTAATGAAATCCTCACAAAAGGAATCCTATTGTAATCCTCCACAAAGGGAATCCTTTTGTAATCCTCCACAAAAAGGAATCCTAATGAAATCTTCACAAAAGGATTCCGATTATAATCCTCCACAAAAGGGAATATTTTTGTAATCCTCCACAAAAGGAATCCGAATGAAATCCTCACCAAAGGAATCCTAGTGTAACCCTCCACAAAAGGAATCTTATTGTAATCATCCGCGAAAGGAATCCTGGTGTGTGTGTGTGTGGCGCTGATTTCGTTGATTTTGTTGCCTGGGTGCTCTGATTTTCCTGTTTTTCCTTTGGTTTTGACTGATTTTCCTGTTTTTGTTGGTTTCTGCTCTCCCGCGCCCCCTCTGGGGGCGAGGTGGAGGCGGCGCTGGGGGAGCGAGGGCGCCGAAAACCAACAAAAACAGGAAAATCAGTCAAAACCAAATGAAAAACAAGGAAATCAGAGCACCCAGGCAACAAAATCAACGAAATCAAGGTCCCGAATGGTTTTGCAATCCTCCACAAAAGGAATCCTGTTGTAATCCTCCACACAAGGAATCCTAATGAAATCCTCACAAAAGGAATACATGTGGAACTTTGCTACAAAAGGATTCCATCGATACGGAGCCGAATGGAAGCCAATAGGGAGATGAGAAGGAGCCAAGAGGGAGCCAAAGGGATCCAGGCGGAGCTTGCTGAGGGTTTTGAAAAATAGGGGGGATTGCTAGCGCTTACCGCTGCCCACGAGGGCTTCTTGAGGCTGTGAAAAGGGGGAAATGATGCGCATGTTTTGTTAATTTGTGCGGGGGGCGGAGCGCACAAACATGAAGTGTTGGGGCGCCTGGCGCAGAACATCGTTGTTGGATATGTAAGTTGCAATACAACTGTTAGCACTTTTCGAGGGTATGCATTTCCTTAGAAAAATGGTGTGCCGAATTCTGGGTGTCTTTGGGGTGCCTTTCGGGTGCTTTCCGGGTGTTTTGACAATGAAATCTTGGGTCGATTGGAGCAAAAAATTGTTTTCATAATCGGAGGTTTCAATTGCAAGCGCAACACTTTTGGAAGATTTCTGTTTCTTGAAATTTGGCGTAAGCAATTTGCGGGTGCTTTGCGGGTGCCTTGCGGGTGCCTTGGCCATGCAATCCTTGGGTCGTTTGGAGCAAAGCGTTGGTTTCCTAGTCGCACAGTTCAACAGCACATGCAGTACTTTTCTAGGAAATATTTTGTTCCAGGAATTGTGTGCTGGCGATTTGCGAGTGTCTTTCGTGTGCCTTTCGGGTGTTTCGCGGGTGCTTTAGGGGCGCCTTTCGTGTGACTTTGTCTTTTTTCGTTCCTTTGTCATAGTTTGTCCCTCTTGTCCTTTTGTCCCCTTTTGTCCCCGTTTATATCCTTTGTCCCCTTTTGTCCTCTTTTGTCCCCTTTGTCCCATTTTGTATATATTGTTTCTTTGTGTCCCCTTTTGTCCTGTTTGTTCCATTCTGTCTCCTTGTGTCATTCTTGTGTGGCCTTTGTCCCTTGTGTCCCCTCTTGTCCCCTTTGTTCTCTTTGTCCCTTTTTATTCCCCTTCTCCCTTTTTGTCCCCTTTTGTCCCCTTTGTCCCCTGTGTCCCCTTTGCTCCCTTTCTTCCTGTTTGTCCCATTTGTTATCTTTTGTCCCCTTTGTCTCTTGTGTCCCCTCTTGTTCCCTTTGTCCCTTTTTATTTCCCTTGTCCCTTTTTGTCCCCTTTCTCCCCTTTGTCCCCTTTGTTTATGTTTGTCCCCTTTGTTAGCTTTTGACCCCTGTGCCCCTCAGGGCGCTTGTTGTAGATTCTCCAGGGCTTAAGAAAACAAGAAAAAAGGGAGACACGAGGGAGACACCAGGGAGACACCAGGAAGATATCGTGAGTTCAGCGCCCTCCGAGGCCCAGGGGGAGCACCAGAAGAAGCAGGGGGAGGAGCAGAAGGATAAGTAGGAGGGGGAGGAGGGGGATAGGAGAGAGAAGGGCGAGGCAGACTTTTGTTTTGTCCCCTTTGTTTCTCAGGATGCGTATTGGAGATCTTCCAGAGCCGGAGAAAACAATAAAAAAGAGGCACGAGGGAGACACCAGGGAGACACCAGGAAGATATCGTGAGTTCATTGTCTTCCGGGGCCCAGGAGGGGCACCAAAAGGAGCAGGAGGAGGAGCAGGAGGATCAGTAGGAGGGGGAGGAGGAGGATGGGAGAGAGAAGGACGCGGCGGAGGGGGAGGAGAAACAGCGCCGTCCGAGTTCCATGGGGGGCGCTTTCCAAGTTTCTCGCGGATTGCCTTTCGAGTGCCCTCGGGGTGCTCATCGGGTGCCTTCGGGGTGTTCATCGGGTGTCTTGCGGGTGCCCTCGGGGTGCTCATCGGGTGCCTTTCGGGAGCTCTCGGGGTGCCCACCGAGGACAGTTAATAATCAGCCCAGGGCGCTTGGAGGACGTTGAACGCACGATATCTCTCAGTGTTCCTCTGGTGCCTTCCTTGTGACCCCTCTCGCGTATATGTTTTTAATGTTTTTTTTTAGCCCTGGAAGGCCTCCCGAAAGCACCCCGAAAGCACCCCGAGAACACCCGAAAAGCATGCGAAACGCACCCGAAAATATCGTAATGTGTGTGTGTGTGTTTGTGTGTTTCGGGCAGCTTCCCAGTATCATCGTTGCGAACATATGTATTCGAAGCTGCTTTCTGACAGTTCCGTGGAATTCCGCCGCGTAGTTCCACTGTGTGGATCTACACCTAGTTTTGGATGAAAATACAATTCAAGACAAACGCTACAAAGCCTGCACATACATATACAGAAACACCATATGGCCAACATAGCGTGTTCAATACTAGTCTTTGGGTTTACCCTCCCCGTCCGATTGTGTTGCTGCTGGTGCTGCTTATGCCCTTAACAGTGTTGTTGCTGATGGTGCTGCTGCTAGTCCTGGTGCTGCTCTTGCTGTTGGCAATGCTGCTGCTAGTGCAGCTCGCGCTCCAGACGTTGCTCGTGCCTCTGTCGCTCGTGCCTCCCATGCCAGGCAACCTCACACGATGGACCAGCGGACATCAACCTTTGGTTGTCACCACGGCTTCTTCAGATTTCTGCCAAAGCTAATTCGAGATAGGCACACGAAACACGCCCGAAATGATCTTGGCGTGTCTTGGCCGCTGGGCAGCATGCACAATCGAAATGTTTTCTCTCCCATCACCTTCAAAGTAGCAACCATTCCCTCGGCGGCGTTGTTTTTTGAATCTGCTCCCCGCCGTAGGCGTTTAGGCTCAAATCGCTGCATGCCAAACGGAGAAGTGGTATGCACAAAGGGTGGCACGCAGGTCATCGATCGGATTTGGCGGCACGTACGTGAAATAATGGGGAGCAGGTCCCCTGCGGTGAACCAGCGCTCTTGGAATGACCGCGCTCGCTCTGCCCAGTGGCTTTTCTGGAACACGGGGCAAGATCTGCGGTCAAAAACTGGGCACATGTTGGCCGGGTTGAACTCTAAGCCTTGGGTTTTTCTCTGCAGAACCGCACTGTTGTTTTTGTCAGGCCCCGCGACTGGCGCGGGCCCCAACAGCTGCATACGATAAAAAGCGATCCTGGCGCCGACGCTCCCGTCCCACCAACGTCATGCACTCAATTCGTCGTCGACACTGCGTGTCGTCATATTCGAGATCTCAACATCAATTCAGCATGATGGCCACATATATCCGAACACAGCTGATGATGATAGTCAAGCGGTGATCATGTGAATAATACAAAACGCCGTTATGCACGGCGTTGTGCAAGAGTGCCGAAGGGGGATCTTGGGAGCCCCCCCCTAGCATATATATATATATATATATATATATATATATATATATATATATACACATACACATATACGAATACACATACATAAACATATACATAAACATAAACATAAACATGAGCATAAACATATGCACGCATTCCTCTTCTTATATTTGCATAAGCCCGGGCGGGGGGGGGGGGGACCACACACACACACACACACATACAAAAAAAAAAAAAAAAAAAAAAAAAAAAAAAAAAAAAAAAAACTCCCGGGATATGGGGCCTTGGGACCATCCAGACGGGCCTCGAAGCGGCCCCCCGGGCCTCGCATGGCGTTTTGCCAAGCCTTCCCAGCACACCTAGGGCGATCAGGGGGGTCATCGGAGACGTCCCAGAGACCCCCAAGACAGCACAAGAGCGTTCCAAAAGTGACCGACGCGACCTCAAGATGGCCCAAGAGGCCTTCAGGACGGCCCCAAAGAGGCCTCCAAGAGCACTCCAAGAAGGCCCCAAGAGGCAAAAATCATTGATTTTCTGCTGGTTTTTGGTGAATTTGGGGGTTCTCCTTTTCTCGGTTTCCCGACGCTCCAAGACGGCGGTCTTCTGGACGCCCGAAGCCGCCTGGGAGGCTCCAAAATCGCCCCACAACCATCCGAAAGGGTTTCCAGGCAGTCCAAGAGAGCCCCAAAACGGCACATGAGCCAATGAAAAAAGGAGGGGAGGGAGCGGGAGCTAACGGCACAACACGGATCCAAGATGGCCTTCAGAGAGCCCCGTGGCGGCCCAAGATGGCCCCAAAACACCTTCCGAAGCATTCCATATCGTCACCCAGTCGTTCACGGACCCATCGAAGGCTCAATGGCGGTGTTTGCATGCGTCTCCCCCACCCAGCACAGGGTTGCGCGGCCCCATAGGGAACCCCACCTAAGGCCCTACTGGCGGTGTTCGCATGCGTTTCCCCCACCCAGCACAGGGTTGCGCGGCCCCATAGGGAGCCCCATCTGAGGCCCCAGCGGCGGTGTTCGCATGCGTCTCCCCCACCCAGCACAAAATTTTGTTGGCCCCACAGGGAGCTCCACTTAAGGCCCCAGTGGCGGTGTTCGCATGCGTCAACCCCACCAACTACGGCGTTTCGTGGCCCCACAGGGAGCCGGCCCTTGTGGCGGTGTTCGCACGCGTCTCCCCCACCCAGGACAGCATTTCGTGGCCCCAAAGGGAGCTCCACTTAAAACCTCCGTGGCGGTGTTCACATGCGTCTCCCCCACCCAGGACAGCGTTTCGTGGCCCCACAGAGAGCTGCACCTACGGCCCCTGTGGCGGTGTTCGCATGAGCCCCCCCCCACCCAGGACAGCGTTTCGTGGCCCCACATCGAGCTCCACCTATGGCCCTAGTGGCGGTGTTCACATGCGTCTCCCACACCCATGACAGCGTCTCGTGGCCCCACAGGGAGCTCCACCTGCGGCCCCTGTGGCGGTGTTCGCATGAGTCTCCCCCACCCAGGATAGCGTTTCGCGGCCCCACATCGAGCTCCACCTGAAGCCCCAGTGGCGGTGTTCGCATGCGCCTCCCCCACCCAGGACAGCGTTATGTCGCCTCACAGGGAGCTCCACTTGAGGCCCCAGCGGCGGTGTTCGCATGCGCCCCCCCCACCCAGGACAGCGTTTCGCGGCCCCACAGGGAGCTCCACCTGGGTGGAGCGACTTGCGGAGTTGCGGAGCCCTGCACGGCGTACTGCAAAGCAGGCACCGCCTCGTGGCCCACAGAGGGAGACACCCTCACAAATTTCGCGCCCCCCCCCATAAGAAACCCCACCGAAGATTATACGCGCGATCGCGGTACCTACAGATGAATATGGCTGGGTCCTTCGACATGCTAACTGATGGTCCCGGGGCCCGGTAAGGGCCTCTGGAGGCCAAAAAAATACAAAAATCTCCCGTCCTGAACTTGTTACGACGCGATCACGTCTGGGGGCGGAGGAGGAGGAGGACGAGGAGGAGGAGGAGGAGGAGGAGGAGGAGGAGGAGGAGGAGGAGGAGGAGGGGGAGGGGGAGGGAGGAAGGAGGAGGAGGAGGAGGACGAGGAGGAGCATGGTCTTGGCTTCGTCCGAGCGGGGGCCCAACAGGCACGCCGCGCCCGCCTCCCCCAGCGGCGCGCCGCCAC